TTTGATCGACGCACAGAGTTGCGGTCTTTTCAATCAGGTGATCAAGTGTTGGCCTTGTTGCCTGTTGTTGGATCACCGTTTCAGGCTAAATTTGTGGGACCGTATACGGTTGCTCGTCAGATTTCTGATCTTAATTATTTTCTCAATATGCCAGATCGTAGGGAAAAAAAACTAGAGTGTCACGTAAATTTGTTAAAGCCTTATTATGCTTCACATGTCATTGACCCTGTAACAACTGACCTAGGTAATTTGTCTGACCCGTGTATAAAACCTGTTCTTCTTGCAGATTCTTGTACTAATAATGACACCGTTGATTTAGTGCCGGTTATGGTAAGTGAGGAGAAAGATGAAATCTATCCTGGAGATTCTGTTCTTCAGGCTCGGTTACAAAATTCCGAAGGGTTGAGTTCTTTGGACGACCGGCTTAACCATCTATCGGATGCACAGCGTATTGACCTGATTAATTTAATTTCTGAATACGTTTCCTGATGCTCCTACTTGTACAAATCTAATAGAGCACGTCATTGTGGGAGATTCAGTTCCTATTCGTCAGCGTTACTATCGGAGAAAGATGAAATCTATCCTGGAGATTCTGTTCTTCAGGTTCGGTTACAAAATTCTGAAGCGTTGAGTTCTTTGGACGACCGGCTTAACCATCTATCGGATGCACAGCGTATTGACCTGATTAATTTAATTTCTGAGTATGTTTCTCTGTTTCCTGACGCTCCATTGCACAAATCTAATAGAGCACGACATTGATGTGGGAGATTCAGTTCCTATTCGTCAGCGTTACTATCGGGTGTCCGTGAATAAGAAAAAACATCTGGACTATGAAATTGAGTATATGTAGAAAAATAACATTGCTGAACCTTCTTTTTCCAGTTGGGCTTCTCCGTCTTTGTTGGTGAGTAAACCGGATGGGTCGTTTAGATTCTGCACTGATTACCGAAAGGTAAATGCTGTAACTAAGCCGGATTCTTTTTGAAGAAGACTGTAGAGACTGTATTGATCTAGTAGGTAATGCTAGATTTGTGAGCAAGTCTGACCTACTGAAATGTTACTGGCAAGTGCCTTTAACCGTCAGGGCTCGGGAGATTTCTGCTTTCATTACGCCTTCCGGTTAATTTTCTTACAAAGTTATGAGTTTCGGATTGTGCAATGCCCCCCGTTACTACTTTTCAGCACTTAATGAACCGCGTAATATCGGGTTTGAGTGGCTGCGCTGTTTATCTAGATGTTGTTGTTGTTGTTTTTAGTCAAACTTGGGAAGAACGCGTACTTCAGATTAGAGCACTTTTTGATCGTTTTCTGAGGGCAAACTTGACAGTTAACTTTGTTAAAATGTGAGTTCGCCAGGGCCACGGTTACTTACCTGGGGAAGGTAGTAGGCCAGGGTCAAGTGCGCCCCATCCGCGCTAAGGTAGAGGCAATAGATAATTACCCTACTCCCGCAACCAAGAAAGAGTTCATGCGATTTCTGGGAATGGTAGGGTTTTATCGTTGTTTTTGCAGGAATGTTTCTATTGTAGTGGCGCCCCTGACAAATTTGTTGCGGGGAGGAGTACCTTTTTGCTGGACCCCGTTGTGTCAGCAAGCATTTGAGAAAATAAAAATGTTTCTTACAGAGGCTGCCGTTTTGGCAGCTCCAAGATTTGATCAGTCTTTCCAATTGCAGGTGGATGCCAGTAATGTGGGTGTTGGGGCCGTTTTACTGCAGAGGTCTGAGGATGGCATTGATCACCCAATTGGGTTCTTCTCTAGAAAGTGTAATAAGTACCAGCTTAATAATTCTGTGATAGAGATAGCTCTCGCTTTAATTTGGGCTTTACAGCACTTCGAGGTGTATGTGGGATCATCGGAGGGACCTCTAGTGGTCTACACAGATCACAATCCTTTAATTTTTCTGCACTCTTTACAAAACCCCAACCAAAGGCTAATGAGATGGTGTGTTTTTACAGGGTTACCTGTTGGATATACACCATATTAAAGGCTCAGAAAATGTAACCGTTGATGCCTTGTCTTGTATTCGCATAGAAAATACGAGTTCTACAACACTTATACTCTCTTTTCCCTTCCTTACTTTTGCTTCCTAGGCACCAAGGTTGCTGGAAGGAGTTGCGGAGTTGAAAATGCTGAGGAACATTTGCTAGCTGAATCAAGTTTGCCACTTGGACTGTTTGGATTTTGTGTGTGTGTGTGAGTCTCCTGCTACGGCCGGCCAGTGGGTGTGTCTAGGAGACTCATCAAGAGAACGATGTCCACCTGTTCTTTCTGCTATAAGAGTCATGGTTTGCTCCCGATGCTTTGTTTGTTTTTGGTTTTGGAATGTTTATTTGGATTTTGTTATGAGTTGTGAGACTTGTTCTGTCTGACTATAACATCTGTCAAACAGAAATGGCAGTTATTTTTCCTTTCTTTTGTTAATAAATAATTCGTTGCAACCTTACCAACCGCATGTCCTCCTTTTCATTTGTTACATGGTCGTGACCTGTTAATCGTAAAGGGCAGATATATCGATTCTTGAAACCATAATCAACAACGCAAGTACTTGGCTGGAGGCAAAACAGCAACGTAATCACAATTTAATAAAGATCAAAGAAACAGTCAGGCAGGCAAAATAACAAGTTATAATAAAAGGTGTAACCATTTATTTTTCACCATTTCTAATAGTCGTTCAGGCTTTGCTTTTTTCTATTTATGTAATTTTGAAGTGGATGTTGTGTGACAGCATTAATTAAAGTTTCTTAATCTATAAGACCCATCTTAAGACATAACTGACTGTGTTTAAAATGTGCATCATAAAAGCATTTCGAGATTTGAGAAATGGCCTGCATCCCCTGCGATGCATCAAAGCCACATGCACACCGTTCAAATTAATGCATGGCTGAGACCAACTACGTAATGGGTGTATGACTGCAATAAAACTATAAGGTAATTATTCCTTAATGAATCTTTCATACATTTCTCTACTATTATAGATTACACATCATTTTAATTATTTTCGAAATCATAAAAAAAACTAATTATTTTTCCTGGTTTAATATGGTACACTTGTAAGAAAATAGCAGCGACTGGGACAGACTTTCAGTATCATCTTCACTTAAAATCATACAATCTAACCCTGTTTACATGAAATAAGTTTGCTCCTGAGCAGGTGTGCATTTCCCAAAAGCAACTATGGTCGCAAGTTCCGTCATTACTAATAGAGTTCAATGGAACTAACGACCATATAGTTAGCCAATGATGGTTTTGGGAAACACACCCTAGGTTTGAGCTCAGTTGTTGCCATGACAGCAACTCCAGGATGAGCTTCAAAAAAACTTAACTATCCTGGATCATGTCAAATAGTCAACAATAAAACAAAGCTAACTAAGTAATCCACATACGAAGAACAGGCCCCTGGAGACAAAGTAATAATGATTTACAAAATTTGCAAAGTTATTAACAGACATTAGAGTATTGATATTAACCTTATTGAATAATCTCATTTGCATGTTTCAATGCTCAGACTTTGGAAACAATGGAAAAATAAAATATAATTTAATGACCAATGATTGAAATAATCTGTTTAAATGTATTATAAATGATTATATGATAAAATGTAATAAAATGATTAATAGTCAGTATAAATGAATGAATGACTAAATTATTTCTTGTTAATTGCTTTCTTGAAGCAACACATACACTGGTCGCTACAAAGAATGTATTGGAATAAAGGAATCAAATGATCATTGAACAAACTATGGCATTTTATGGCCTTCTAAGACTCAGACAACATGACCTCTTACCTTTAGGAGCTGGTCTTGCTGGCTTTCCGAAAGCCACAAGTCTTGGTGTAGGTGGACAGCAACACGTTGGGGTTCAGCCCGACAACCTTCACACACTCCTAGCTGTGTCAGCTCATCACAAACCGGGCAATGCAGTGTTGTAAAGTACTGAGAGATGGTGCCTTTTCTTGTGCTCTCCTCCCCCGCTCCATTCACAGAGCTCCACGCCTTCTGTACCTATGCAGTGAATAACACCACAGACTTTCACTGGAAATGTATTTTATTTAACTGTGCTTTTTAAAAGGTAAAGCATACATTTTTTTGAATGTTAAAATACCTTCTCAAATTTGTATATGCCAAGTTAACTATATGATTGAATTTCATTCCCAAATACGGTGGCCGAGAAGTGCAAAACAAATCACAATTCTGAAAACAAAATAACAAATTACAAACGCAAATGCAAGTCTAAAAAACAAAATAACAATTCAGAAAACACCATAACAAGTCAGAAAACACAATGACAAATTTGAAAATAAAATAAATCAGAAAACACAATGACAAACCGGAAGCGGTAGGTATAGTTTTAGACAGCGCCATTGGTTTGGGATTACACACCGCTGACTGGACGAGACATCTCTCGATCAACGTATACAGGAAGAACCAGCCGAAGAACAGCTTACTGATGGTCTGGTCTAGAGGCTTCTCCGGAAAGAGCTCCGACATGGGAACCATGGTGGGTGAGTACGATCCATGTCTAATATATGTATATATGAATATACAGTGGGTACGGAAAGTATTCAGACCCCCTTAAATTTTTCACTCTTTGTTATATTGCAGCCATTTGCTAAAATCATTTAAGTTAATTTTTTTCCTCAATGTACACACAGCACCCCATATTGACAGAAAAACACAGAATTGTTGACATTTTTGCAGATTTATTAAAAAAGAAAAACTGAAATATCACATGGTCCTAAGTATTCAGACCCTTTGCTGTGACACTCATATATTTAACTCAGGTGCTGTCCATTTCTTCTGATCATCCTTGAGATGGTTCTACACCTTCATTTGAGTCCAGCTGTGTTTGATTATACAGATTGGACTTGATTAGGAAAGCCACACACCTGTCTATATAAGACCTTACAGCACACAGTGCATGTCAGAGCAAATGAGAATCATGAAGTCAAAGGAACTGCCTGAAGAGCTCAGAGACAGAATTGTGGCAAAGCACAGATCTGGCCAAGGTTACAAAAAAAATTCTGCTGCACTTAAGGTTCCTAAGAGCACAGCGGCCTCCATAATCCTTAAATGGAAGACGTTTGGGACGACCAGAACCCTTCCTAGAGCTGGCCGTCCAGCCAAACTGAGCTATCGGGGGAGAAGAGCCCAAAGATCACTG